AGTAAGATTTAAGGTATATACCCCTTAATTAAGGGATATACCTTAAATTATAGTAGGATCCCTAATAAGATTTAAGGTATATTCCTTAATTAAGGGGTATTGGGTCCTCGGTTCGTCGATGCTTGCGCACAGCTCGAGAACAGATGCAGGTCGCCCGCCCACCCGAAGAGACAGCCCCAAGACCTCAGCCCCACAGGCCCTAACAAAAACTTATAGAGGCGCATAAAGCCCAAAGCCTTCAAGAGCCCAAACCCATCCAAACCCTAAATGCCTAAACCCGCAAGCCGGAAGTCCATCAGAAATCGAGCTCCAAACCCTGAAAAATCAACCCGAATCCAAAAGCCCGAACTGTTTACAACCTAGCCCTGAGATGCCTGTAGGGCCTAAAACAATCTAAACCCTACGCCCCTAAACCTTGAAATGCCCAAACCCTACACATCCTAACCCCCAAGCCCTCTAAACCCCGAAATGCCTAAACCCTACACACCCTAAACCCCCCCAAAAAAATCCGTAAGTTTTCCCAACAAGCAGGCCCTCTAAGCTCAGCCTTCCAAGAAGGTCCTTAGGCCTCTACGATGCAGCGCTGGAGGATGCGAGGGCTGCGCGCTGTGCCGACGCAGAGGCGGGCCTTGGGTGTAGGGATCAGTTTAAAGCTTAGGGTTACGTGTATAGTCTCTATTGTAGTTCCTTTTTCTGGTTAACCAATTTTGTATCCTATAATGTAAGTTTGGCTAAACAAAAAAGGAACTACAATGGAGACTACAGGTAGGGATCAGGTTTTAGGGTTTAAGGAAGGTCCGGATTCAGGGTTGAGAGTTGAGGGACTAGGGCTGCAGAGGGGAAGGCGCCTTGAAAGCCAGAGGCTAGAAAAGGCACGCGGGGAGCGGCAGCAGTAGCAGCAGCATACTAGAAATGGTAGTAACAGTAGTATCGGTAGTAGATGTAGTAATTCGTCCAGTATAATATAGCTACCTCTAATTACCCATACTACTGTTATAGTATTGTATGGGTCCCAGCGGGTCCAAGTACTAATCCAGCAGAGATTAGCTCCCACAATATATACTCTATTTTGTGTTCGCACTTAGAGCTTTGGATTAAAGAAACCTGTCGTTGATGGTCAGATTCGGGACTTAGTAAGTAAGGTTATAAGTCCCCTAATTGGGGTTATAAGTATAGTTACCCTAGTTATAACCCTACTTACTAAGTCCCATGATCCTGCAAGAGGACCATGGAATAAATGCCTATGCTTCCTACTGCAGTCTAGGTATTCAGGCGCTTGAAGGTGAGACCCGCAACCCTAACCTATCCATAGGCCCCATAGTAGTTCCTTTTTGGGGCTTACCTAGTAGGATCCTAAATACAAACCACAAACCGGAACTACCTATAGTCTCCATTGTAGTTCCTTTTTGGTGTTACCTTATAGGATCCTAAATATAAAATTGGTTAAACCAAAAAAAGGAACTACAATGGAGACTATAGGTACTATGGGGGGCCTATGGGTATCTACTCTAATCCTGCCACCGTCTTTCTGGAGCCAGGTTGCTGCACTTGCGGGTCCCGGGCTCGGACGCGCATGACAGAATGTCGACCCTGAGCCCGGAATCGGACAAAATACCTAGCATCCGAGGCTTAAGCAACGTTCAAGCTTAGGGTTTAGGGGTTTCGGGTTTAGCGCACACTCCTCACCCAAAGCTAGCACGGATTCAGGGTTTGGGGTTCCCCAAAACCCGAGGTTCTCGCAGCCTGATCCTCAACATTAGTTTAGGCTGGCTGGGCTCGGGGATTTCGATCCCTGCTACAGCCCGTGCCTTGTGCTGCATCAGTGACCCTTTCGGGTCTCTAGCATGGGCACAGATCGGGGCTGAAAAGGTATAACTGTGCTCAACATCCCAATCATGCTCAACGTGATAGCTTCTCAGAATGGTCCAATGAATCCGGCGCCTTTTTTGGGGGAAACTTCGGGCTGCGTGCATGCGAGCAAAATACCCGCAGAATCAATGCAACCGCAGGTTAGCCAACGATAATGGTTGAGGCGAGTTTGCCCATGTCGGGAGGCTTGCAAAAGCGCGACAGTGAAAGCAACTAGCCCACAATGCTCAGCAGTTGGAAACCCCAACGCGTACATTACAGGTCGATTCATGCAAAGGCCTGAAGATGGCTAATATAGAGGCCTGAAAAATGTCCTATCTTATTTTTGGGGTTCCTGATTAGAAATATAGTATAATGGGCCCCAAAGCCTTATTCGAATTATGAAGGCCCCTACATTAATGTTTTCCCATGGTGATGAAACAATGTAGGGTTTCATATGATATTGAAAGCGTAGGTTGGTATTGCACTCCTGAATCATATACGCGCCGAACATAATTACCAAGACAGGCTCCTTATGATGATAGTTGTAGTAAATCCTACCCCAACACCCTTTTTGAATTATTAATCAAGGCCCCTCTACCCTAAACCCTTATAGTAGCCCTGGTTGAACCCGTCAAGGAACCCCCAAAGGGAGCCCAAAACCCCATCCTAACCACCAAGGCCCCTCAACCCTAAACCCTATAGTAGCCCTTAAAGAACCCTTTAAGGAGCCCTTTAAAGGAGCCCAAAACCCTATTCTAATTATTAAGGCCCCTAAACCCTAAACCCTCGATTCCACTCTCTTGACTACCCATAGGCCCCATAGTAGTTCCTTTTGGGGGATTACCTTATAGAATCCTTGTTATAAAATTGGTGAAACCAAAAAAGGAACTACCATCGAGACTATAGGTAGGTTCAGCTTTTTGGGATTACCTTATAGCATTTTAAATATGAACCCCAAAAAGGAACTACCACGGGGGGCCTATGACTAGTTTTGATCAGCAGGCTTGGGCCGATTTGCAGAGGCCAGGTCGTCGATCGTGCACAAACACGTGCCACCATACACCGACGGTTTAGTGTTTATAGGGTTGTCATATGATGATCTATGACAGAATAACAGTATGTTGCTGCATAGTAGAGTATATAGTTTTCATATGATGATCTATGACAGAATAACAGTATGTTGTTGCATAGTAGAGTATATAATATTGTATAACCAATGACCATCATACCTGCATTCTGCTGATGACTTGTAAAGGCAGTTGAGGATGCTCTCACATGTCGGTGTCGTGTTCCAGGACGAATGACCCCCTCCCACTAGCCCAAGACCCCACAGGCCGGCGTTCGGGACCAGGACCTAACGGTGGGACTTAAGTTCGTCGTTCTCGTCGCCATTGCCAAAAGGGAGAGAAATGGGGTAGTGGTCGTAACAATGGCAGCAGTAGTCGCAGTAGTAGAAGCAGTAGTAGCAGAAGTAGTGGCAGTGGCAGTGGTAGCATGGTCTGAGGATGGAGGCTCTTCGAAGCTGTAAGCCCATTGGCACTGTCCATGGGTTCAGTACGCCTGGCATGCCTTTTTCCAGCCTGCCATAATTTCACTTTGGATAGGCGCGGCGCGCTACCCAAAGCTGCATCGCTCATCAATGGCTGGAAGGCACGTGTGGGAATGGGTCCCTGGAACTCCTGGTCACAGGTTTCCAAGCGAGGCTATCGAGGGACTGAACAAGAACGGAAGGCTTCATAGAACATTGGAGGTTTAGTCGCTCCGCTTCGAACATGTTTCCGACGAAGGTATCACAGACTCGAGAGGGGTGTTTTGGGACATATAGTCCGGAATTTGGCAGACTCCGAGATGAAACGCAAAAGCGCAGTGCATTCGAGGCTGATATCGAAAGGATCGTCCAGACTCCATCAGTAATTTTTTGCATGTGCACGAGTGCTCTCCAGCAGGGTCATAAGTTATGTTGATTGACAAACTTAACAGTCATAACTACTGAAAGACCTGCAATCCTAATCTTCGTCTCAGGCGACATCACCAGCACCAGCACAATCGATATCACGTGTTCGTAATCATGTTAGTCAGCAGAACCATCATCATAATCGTCATCATCGTCTTCATGTGTTTCTTCTTCTTCTTATTATTATTCTTCTTCTTCTTCAGTGCCTTTGTCTTAAAGTGCGAGACTTCTTATGGGTCTAGCAGTGCCCAACGCACGGCAATGCCTGTATGTTGAACGCATTCAAGGGTCTTTTCACGGCGCAGTTCGTAGCTGACACCCTTGCAACAACTCACCCCTGTGCGATATCAGTCTTATGGGCAGCCTTGTCCAATCAGTAAACCTCGAGCTCGTCAAACAAAGAAAGCAACCTCAAAGTAAAATAGGGTCCTAAATAATTACCAATACTTCTGTGCGGGTTCCTGATTATAATTATAGTCTAATATACCCCAAAACTCTACTCAGACTGTGGACTTCAAATCCCCGCCTCAAAGCATGGACGCAATTCGCACTTCCTTCAGTCGCCAGAAACCCCAGGAACCGTTTCGCCTGAGAACCATCAAAACTAGACTAGGATCCGGAATCGAATCATCGACAGACAGTGCAAACGAATCCGAAACCCGGCAGCAACTTTAAGAGAGCAATCAGGGTTCAGGGTTTAAGGCCGGCTTTACCTGTCAAGCGGAGAATTTTGCTCAACCCTTTGCGAAAGGCCGTGGACCGGGAACTTTTTCCGCAAGCTGCAAATCCCCTAGGAACCCTACACCTCGCCATAGTCCTCGCGTGATTAGTACAAGTATCAAAGCTTGCAACCTTCTTCTGAGTCTGTTGATGCTTAGTATTTACATTCTCAGTTATTTTTAAGTGTCTTTCGTGCTGTTTGTTTTCGTCATGGCTTTTTTCATGTAACCCTAACCCCCCAGGTACCTACTATATAGGGCCCTAGGGCCTCTAGTACCCTATATAGTAGGTACTTGGGGGGTTAGGGTAACTTTGTGCCAGTACTCTCTCGAGTCCGCCCCCCACACCCGGCGAGGCCTGGAGTTGCAAAGTAAGGGCGCCGTGAACGTCCTCGAAGTCTTGAGGTGACGCGGGACTTAAAGCCATGTAATATAGGGGCCTAAATATTTACCTACATTATTTTGAGGGTTCCTTATTAGAGTTATCTGTAGTATAATGGGCCCCAAAACCCTGTTCTAATTATTGAGGCCTCGATAGTACTGTGCCATGTACCATGCTCCTAAACCAGAAACCCCAAAACCTAAACCCCACCATATGACATGCTAAGGTTGTAGTCCCACAGGTTTGCCACCGCAAAGCTTTCGCTTCAGGGACTTCCCCGAATGTTTCAGTGTGACCCTAGACCCTAAACCCGAAACCGACATTGTTGATACCCTACAAGTCATTCGGCGAACCATTCTTTGTTGTTTGTTTTTGTGTTTTCAGTGTCTGTGAACCCTAAACCCTAAACCCTAGACCCCGAAACCCTGAACCCTAAACCCTAAACCCTAAACCCTAGACCCCGAAACCCTGAACCCTAAACCCTGAACCCTAAACCCTAAACCCTAAACCCGTAGTTCTCTTGGAGTCTAGGAGGCCTTCGGCTCAACGGTTCAGGATTGTCCAAAATCTCCCTTGTCTCGGGTTTAGGGTTTAGGGTTTAGGGTTTAGGGGTTTAGGGTTTAGGGTTTAGGGTTTAGGGTTGGCTTCTTGGAGATAGAAGCCGAAGAAACTGCCAGTAGCAGTTGCAAGTGCTCCTGATAGTGTACTTGGAGGATCATGGGACTTAGTTACTAGGGCCCAATTAAGGTAGTTATAACCTTACTTACTAAGTCCCATGATCCTCCAAGTAGGGTCCCATATCAGGCTGTTTCTGGGTATGCTGCAAGAGATTCGGGCTAGCCCGGAAGAGCTGGTACCCAGAGAGCCCAATACCCCTTAAATGATGAATATTCCTTAAATTATACGGGCCTTAATCTTATGATTTAGGGTTTATTCCTTAATTAAGGAATATACCTGAAATCTTATTAGGGATCCTACTATAATTTAAGGTATATTCCTTAATTAAGGAAAATATACCTTAAATCCTATTAGGGATCCTACTATAATTTAAGGTATATTCCTTAAACTAAAGTAGGATCTCTACTTTAATTTAAGGTATATTTCCTTAATTAAGGGGTATTGGGCTCTCCGGGCAGAAGGCCCAGCACCTGAGCTCGGCGGCTCCGGGACCCCAGAGACTCCAATACCCCCTTTAATGAAGGAAGATACCTTAAGTTATGGTAGGATCCCTAGTAGGATTTTAGGTATATTCGAGTAGGATCCCTAATAAGATTTAAGGTAAATTATAGTAGGATCCCTAATAAGATTTAAGGTATATTCCTTCATTAAGGGATATACCTTAAATTATAGTAGGATCTCGAATAGAATTTATAAGGTATATTCCCGAATTAAGGGGTATTGGAGTCTCTGGGTCCCCACCCGCCCGTGAGAGCCTCGCGCCTCCACGGCAGTCCATCCGGAGCCAAAGGGCGAAGAGGCGATGAACTGCGCAAGAAGCCCGTCAAGCCTTACCCTAACCCCCCCAGGTACCTACTATATAGGGTACTAGAGCCCCTAAGGCCCTATATAGTAGATATAGGGTTTAGGGTTTAGGGTTTAGGGTTTAGGGTTTAGGGTTTAGTGTTTCGGGTTACTTGGCACCAGGGACCCTGAACTCCAAGCCCGAAGCCTCGGAGCGCCCACATATGACGAGTCGAAGTATGACTTTCCCGTCAAAAGGTGGGCCCTTGAAATCCTACTAAAGCCTTCGATTCAGGGTCCCTCAAACCCAGCCTCAAGGTTCATTTTAAAGAGTATGAAGTTGGAAGTGCCTTCATTGGCGGCTATAAGTAGAGTGAGTCATAGCTAAATCAAGAACCATGAAACCTAAACCCCATAGTCACCCCTACTTTACCCCCCGACCCTGCAGATGATTCCCTCAACCCTAACCCCTAAACCCTAACCCTAAACCCTAGAACCCTTGCCAACTTAAAGCCCTAAACCCAACTCCCAAAAGTCCAAAACACCGAGATCCCACAGTCAAATACGTCTTAGAAGCCCATACAACGTCTCTAGAACCCTTAGGCGTCCAGCCCTATCCAGCCCTCTTGCGGCCTTTATGAACCCCCCAACCTGCCGTGGAACCCAATAAAACCCGACAGAAGACGTATAAACTCCACGTAAAGCCCTAAACCCTAAACCCCCAAACCCTAAACTCTATCAAACCCTGTGGTAGACTCCGTCGCCAGGGCTTCCGTGCCCTTCCTCCTACCTCGGACGAGTGACTTTGAGGCGGTTCCGGGTTACTGGGGGTTTAAGGACGCCTTAATTAAGGAATATACCTTACCGGGTTCCTTAAAGGGATCGATAAGGGTATCTATAAGGGAATTAAGGAATATACACCTGGTTTAGGGTGGTTTGATGCCCTTGTTGTTCTGGGTTGTTGCTTGGGGCTTTGTTGTTCTCGGGTCGAGGACTTTGGGTGCAGGTGTGGTTTGGGGCGTGTATAGGTTTCTAGGTATATGTTGATTTTGGGTCTAGTGATTTTGACTTTGAGGTGTTGGGTTTACGTGTCAAAGGCGTCCAGCAAGTTTAGTTGGTGGCCTAGAGAGTGGGAATAGCTAGTGAGCTAGCTCTTCTACAGCCCCCTACACAAAGAAAGGATGAAGTATCTTCTCAAATCAAAGCCTCCACTACAACGACGTCCCCAAGCCATGAACTGCAGGGAATAGATACTAGAAGCTGTAAAAACATCTGGAGCCGCCTCGACCCCTAAACCCCACTGTTCTGAAACGAACCCTAAGGGTCCATGTACCCAAATAGATATACTTTGGCCTTGAAGTAGTCCCTAAAAAGGAACTTTAGGGCCAATGTATATACTATTTGGGTACATGGACCCTTAGGGGAATGTGGACAGGGTCCTGTCCAAATGGCTGCCGTGGCACCCGAGCGCCGTGGTCTGGTCGCAACACGCCGACTCCAAGCAGGTCGGAGGGCAGGGAGTGTAGGCTTCACTTTGTCATAGTTGGGTAACATTTTACATTTCTAAGGGTACTTAAACCCAATAAGGAATATACATATAGATATTTAATACTACCCCAACCATGAACTAGTTCAGGGTTCGTGATTGAAGGTACGCGGTGTAGGTTTCCGGGTTTAGGATGTTTCATCATGGTGCAGCATGCAGTTGCCCAAGTTCTGTGTAGCGTGTGTGCCTTACTTGTAGAGTTGAGAAGGCGCCCATAGAACTGCACATGACTCAGCGAAAGCGCAGCATGGCCCAGTCTCTGAATCGACAAGGAGGATCAGGGCAAAGGCTTCCAAGAAGATGCGTAAGCAGCTTAGGGTAGCTTCAATGTACCGTACATCTGCCTGATAGTCGTAAAATCATTGCAGTAAGCCATAGGCCACATGATGAAGTTTTGCTACAACATCGCCCCATGTGCAAGATAGCAACAGCCTCGCATGGAAGCAAAAACACAAACACACACACACACAACACACACACACACACACACAAATCCTACGACTCTTCATTCAGGGGAATTGCTGCTATCTTCGCGCTCCCTCGTGGCGGTCGTCCTTCGGCATCATCTGGGCCGGGAAAGCTTCGCGCCAAGGTTTCCATAATCAGAGTTCAGGGTTTAATATAGGGGCCTGAATAATTACCTATACTATTTTGGGGGTTCCCTATTATGGTTATAGTATAATATACCCCGAAAGCTAATTCTAATTATTAAGGCCCCAACATTATAGGTTTTCAGGATGTTTGAGGTCCAGGGCGATTCGCTGAAGGTTGTGAGTTCTGGGAGCTCGATTTATGGCGTCATGAGCTGAACCACGAAGACCCAGAGACTCCAATACCCCCTAATTAAGGAGTATACTTTCAATCTAATTAGGGGGTATTGGAGTCTCTGGGGAGCACAGCTTGCCATGATTGCATGAGTTTTTTGGGGAGATGGGTTTAGGGTTTAGGGTTTAGGGTTTAGGGTTTAGGGTTTAGAGGCAGAAGAGATTGCAACGGTCAGAAGATGCCGAACATGGCTGCCGCTATCTAGTGAGTTTGGCAAGGGTTCTTGCGGTTTTCAAAACTTACGAGTTTGGAGTGCCTATAGGATGTGGCCCTCACCCATAGGGCCCATAGTAGTTCCTTTTTGGGATTACCTGATAGGGATCCTAAATACAAACCACAAAAAGGAACTACTATGGGTCCTATGGGTACTGCCAAAACCGCCAAGCCCTGAACTCTGAGCGTCTAAGGGCCGGCTGAAGCTGGGTCACGGCTTTCGGAACCCTGTGGACGTGTATAAGCTCCGCGGCGCAACACTTTTAGGGTTTAGGGTTTTGGGTTTTCGGGCATGGGCTTTGCTGTCCTCAACCCCGAACCCTAAATCCCTTAAACGCAAAAAAACTCAAGGGTTTCAGCACGTTTTGCTCGCAACAGTGAGCAACCTTATGGGGTCCTTGTACTCGAAGAATGTATTGCTATCCTGCTTGATCGTCTCCTGATCGCTGCTGGTAGTCTCCCCAAAATCTACCGGAGCTCTGGACCCTCCAAACTCGCATTTTTCTTCTTTTGATGTAGTACGCGGTGCCTCCAAGCTGATGTCTTGAAGACCATCCTACGCAGACTCCCCAAGGCTCCTGAAGCTTCAAGGCCTCCAGTTTAGGGTTTAGGGTTTAGGGGTTTAGGGTTTAGGGGTTTAGGGTTTAGGGTTTAGGGTTTAGGGGTTTAGGGGTTTAGGGTTTAGGGTTTAGGGAACTGTAGTACGTGAAGTGCTTCCGGCGGCTTCGCTCTGGGGCCTCCAATCTGGTGTTTTCGATCACGCCTGAAGTACACACATGTAATGTATGCAATGCTTCCGAGAAGCAGCGGTAGAAAGCTGAAACGCCCTAAACCGTAAACCCGAAACCGTGGCTGTTTTTCTCCCAAGCATATCGACACCATCTGCCAGGCGGCCTGGTGATCGTTAGCAGAAGTGCTTTTTGCGAGTGCCTCTTCCGAAGCACCAGCCACCTTAGGGATCTGAGGGGCTCTCTGGCTGAGAAGCTGAAGTTGAAGAGCTTAAGAGGGGATTTCTTTCAAGGGTTTAGGGTTTAGGGCTTAGGGTTCAACACAACAGAGAAAAGCCACGATAGTGCCAAGCGATCATAGGAACGGCTTAACCCTAAACTCCTACATTGTCCTATACACCCTAACTTCCTGTATAGATACCTTCGAAGTTCGCTTGAGAAGCCCTGGCCACTACAAGGAACGCAGCTCGGACTTCCAAGCATGTGTCCTGGTCGCGCTTTCGGGTTCGGATGCAGCCCGAGCCCTAACCCCCCAGGTACCTACTCTATAGGGTACTAGAGCCCCTAAGGCCCTATATAGTAGGTAACCCGGATATATAGTAGGTACCTGGAGGGTTAGGGTAACCGTTTAAACCCTAAATCGCCCGCTCCAAAGCACTCTGTAAACCAGCAGTTGCGGTCTTAGCTTCTCACCCTATCATGAAGCCTAGTGCTGTGGTCAAGTTTTCCAATTTTGGGGTTTAGGTTCGTGAGTCGCTTAGTTTAGAGGGGAGTTACACCTTAAGGATTCACGCAGCTCAAAGGATTCTGGATCTAGGCCACTTAGTCCTTTAGAGTGGGCTTAGAGGGGTTTAGGTTTAGCGTTTAGGGTTTTAGAGGCTTTATGTGTGTTTGGAGGGGCCGGCCAGGTCTTTGACGAACCGGGTTAATCCCACAACACTACTAAACGAACCATCGTAATACTCCAAACCCCGAAACCCCAAACCCGCAGCCCCATTCTAATGATGAAGGCCCGCACCATAGAACCATTCTAGCAAAGCCTTCAAAGGAGCCCTTGTAGAAACCCTGTTTCAATCTTCCGGACCCGCAGATTACACCTTATAAACCCATTGTAGAAGCCGTTGACGGAATCCTTAAACAGTAGCCTCGAGCACTACCGTCGGAATAACTAGCAATAGTATCTCCTTTTGGCCTTGATAGAAAGAACAATGATATTATATCACAAAACACAATATACATAGTGTAGTTTAGTTTAGTTGAATTTCATGTAATGTATTTTAAAAGAACGATATGATAGACAAAAAGATAAGGTAAGATAAGATCATGTGTGTGTATGTATGTATGTATGTATGTAGGTAGGTAGGTAGGTAGGTAGGTAGGTAGGTAGGTAGGTAGGTAGGTAGGCAGGCAGGTAGGTAGGTAGGTAGGTGGGTGGGTAGGTGGGTAGA